GGGGGGGGGCGGGGGGGGGGGGGGGTGTCGAAATATTACAGGGACTGATGTCTTCCAAAGCATCACTGTACCACGTGAATTTCTCTCCCATGCCATTCTCGTATTAAAAAAAAAGGAGCGAGATAGACATGAGACAATGCCTACAACATGATCGGGCAGAGGGGGCAAAGGTGGCGGGGGTGTGGGGGCAGGTTAACGAGGAAACGTGCCACTTCTGAAATTCCAGTTTCCCGTTGAAATTCTTTTGCATTCGTTTTACTTTTGCAGTATGTTTCTTAGGCAGTCTGGTGTTCGAGGAGATGAGATGACGTCATCATAAAATCCATAAGGTCGTCAGTCTCTGAAAGTACTGTACCGTCTCTGGTCAGGCTGTCTCTGTTTGGAGTCGACGGACTCCATCGATGCGAATATCGTGGCCACGTTAATTTTTTTTCTTCAGAGAGGGAAATACGCGCGTTTCTCTCGTGGAGCCAGCAGAAATCCGAGGTCGAACAAATGAAATTGCGATGTTTTTGGTATTTCCGATGTCACCGATGTCGATCATCATAGCGAAATCTTCATTTTATGAAAACCGCGGAATGCCACAGATACTTACGAAGGGAGCCAACGCGGATTTCGGCGAAATTCAAACCAAGTTAAATTCGACATCCCCACCCCCCACCCTTGCCTCCACGATTTCCGCCCTTTCTGGAAATACTCCACATCCCTCCACTGCATCCCTTCACCGCATCCCTCCGCTGCATCCCTTCACTGCATCCCTCCCCTGTATCCCTCTCAGGACGAAGAGAGCGAGAGCAGCGGGAAGAAGTCGGCGAAGGAGGCGCTGCTGCTGTGGTGCCAGAGGAGGACGGCCGGGTACCCCCACGTCCACATCCGAGACTTCACCGGTACGCCGACGCTCACTCCGACTTGCTTGATTTCATTCATCCGGCCTTAAAAATTTACGAGCCTGAGACGTTTGGAATTACGATCATAATCTCTTTTATTGGCTCGGTGCAAGATAATGCTAATCCTCATTTCTTGTTATCAATATTAAGTTATCACTTCAGACCGTCTCATACCTTCGTGCAATTTAAAATGTTTTCCTGTTTCTGGGACCTCGACTCAAACCTTTGCCTTCATTTTCTCGAAGGCAGAATTCGGTAGCTTAACACCAACTCGCACCTCAAAGTCACGATCGAACAACACTGCAACCGAGGAAATGGACGACGCCTCTCATTCTATTTCAAATAGAATTCACCTGCTCGAATCGGCACAAGGAGCTATTTTTCAACGTGGCCTCGAGAAAAAAGTACCGGTAATCGAGTGCAACTAATTTTAGGAGTTTTTGGAACTGGAGTACCAGTTCAGGCACAGATCTGCCATTACACTGGCCAATATACCACTAATTGTCTCACTCCGACTCCATGACCGCGAGCAGCCGCGCTCTCCCATCGTCAGCTATGGATCCGTCAGCCGCGAGAGCAGGAAAGGAACTGACCGAAGACTCTCCGCGGCGGGAAACCTTCCGCCCTCTGGCGGCTCATCCCGGAACTGCTGGGGACCGACCGATGGGCGAGGCGGTGTGACAATGGGAAATGACAGCCTCCACGTTCGAGCACTCTTCTGCAAGTGCGAGGAATCAGACGAAACTCAGGTCCCATGGATTCCTTGCTTAGGCCTTCGTTCGAGCAATTCAACTCGTAATATGAAACCCATGCGACAATGGCTCTTCCACGCATGCGGTCGCAAAAAATAAAGCTCCAACCCATGCAAACTTCCATTGTGGCTACGGCATTACAAGATGATGCAGCATGCGCTGAAATTTTTCAGGACTCTGAAGTGAACTCATGAAATTATTTCCCCTCATTAGACAGAGCCACCATAACTGTGGAGGGTGAGGATATCAGTGAGAAACCTTGCAATGTAAAACAGACCATTAAAAGTGGGCCGAGCACTAGTTAGGTTAGACGTATTCCATTTGAGGTGGACACTTTTTCAGTTGAATCCAATGTTATTTCATGGGGAGTACCATGAGGTGTTGGAATCACCTGGAAAGGGGGAAAATAAGTTAGATCGCTGAATATTCTTCAACGAGAAATTCAAATCACATACGGGAAACAGGAGACATAAACTCAAATACGCTTCTGGCAACCCCTTTTAGTTTAAGGACCATCCTAGCCAATTAAGCTTCTAAGTATATAGCCTTTGGATCTGAGTCTCAGTCTGTGACTGACCCCCAGCCCCAGCTAAAAGCTGCACATGCGCAGTCTGAAACAACAACGCCCTCGTTGCCATGACGACCGAAAGAAAAAAAAAAAACGAGAAGCCAATCCGAACATCCCTTTCCAGCCTCCTGGCGAACCGGCACCGCCTTCAACGCCCTCATCCACTCCCACCGCCCCGACCTCATCGACCTCGCCCGCCTGCCCCCTCTCCCCCTGGACAGCCTGAACCACGCCTTCGACGTGGCCCAGCGCGAACTCGGCATCCCGCGCCTTCTCGACGCCGAGGACATGCACGCCAGCGAGCCCGACGAGAAGTCCGTCATCACTTACGTGGCTGCGTTTTACCATGCGTTCGCCCGCATGGAGAAAAACAGGAAGAAGGGGAATCGAATTGCGAAAGTGAGTTATGGGATTTGGCGGATCTTTCATTTAGAAGAAATTCGAAAGTTCTACCAATAATTAATGTTTCGTCGGGAGTAGATCGTGTCTCAGCAGATGGACATTGACAAGATGAAGAAGCAGTATAAAGAATTAATCGATGACATTTTGGAGTGGATTCGCTCCAAGATCTCCGAACTCGAGGATCGGAACTTCCCCAATTCCTTGGAAGGTATTCAGAAAGAATGCCAGAAATTCAAGGAGTACCGTACCGTGGAAAAGCCTCTCAAGTGAGCAATACATTTATGGAAACTAAACTACATTCATTATTTAGTATATTCATTTTCGCATTTCCGAGGGGAAGCACTATCCAAACACTTGAGCATGCTGCTTAGTGCTTGGAGCGTAACAGGAACAATTAAGAGAATATTTCTTAGACACTAGGTTTGCTCACCAGAGTAATAAAAACAAAACATACCGAAATCACAATCCGATTCAGTCCACTGCCAAATCCCATAAAGTTTCTGAACACCGATCGTCTCACCTCTCCGCACGACCCACAGGCACAATGCGAAGAGCGAGGCAGACGCCTTGCTCTCCACCATCAACGCGCGACTGACCGCCTCGAGCCAACCGAGCTACCAGCCGCCAGACGGACGACTCCCGCACGAAATACAGATGTCGCTAGAGGCGTTGGAAGGGGCAGAACGCGCGCGGGAGGCCGCTCTCGGCGACGAGCTCATTCGCCAGGAGAGGCTGGAGCAGCTCGGTGGCAAGTTCGAGCGGAAGGTGAGACTCGCGTTCGGCGTCGGGCGTCGAGACGTTGTGCTCGCTTCATCGAGTCTTCGTTTGCAGAGTGTACTGGGAGAGAAGTACTTGAAGGAAATGATTCGAGTCCTGTCGGATTCTCCTCGCGGAAGCGACTCGACGCGAGTGGAGGCCGATGTCAAGAAACTCGAGGCGATCAGTGCTGACATCCTCGCGAGGGTGAGGAGTCCCATTATCCAGCCGCAGTGCAATCCGCAGGCGTTAATACATTGTATGCATGCATTACCGTCTGTCTTTTTTAAAAATTGATTACGATTGGATTTAATTTCACAGAAGAAGAGATTTGAGGACATTTCGGCCATGGCAAACGAGCTGGAGAAAGAGGGCTATCATGGAAAAGAGAAAGTGAAAGAACGGTACGATTCCTGACATAACAATTCCCGCATATGAAACGCGATAAAACATCGATCACATACCAAGAAGCAATTTTCCTTCCAGCGAGGAAGAAATCACGGCAAAATGGAGACAACTCCTTGAGCTACTGGAGGAGCGCAAGACCCCATTCACCGCATTCACCAATCTGACATCCCTCCTGGTTGAAGTGGACGCCACCACAACCGCCATCCACGAACTCGAGGCAAGTCCGTCCTTCCGTTTAAAAAGAGCTTTCCCCCGTCTCACGCTTCCACGAAACGGCCGGCAGGCGAAACTGAAGTCGAGCGACCCGGACCAGCAGCGTGGGGTGGGAGACCTCCACATCCATGGGGTGGAAGACCTCCACATCTACGGGGTGGAAGACCTCCACATCCAGGCAGCGTCCTCCTTGGAGGACGCGGTTCGACGGACGAACGAGCAGGCCCAGCGGTTCCCAGCGGAAGGCCCGGAGTCCCGCCTCCTGCAGGATAAACTCCACGCGCTGAACCAAGCCCACTCCGACCTGCAGAAAACGGCCCAGGCCAAGAAGACCCAGCTGGAAGAATCCAGACGCCACCTCGCCTTCGCGGAGGAGGAGGCGTGGGTCGACGAACGACTCGGGATTTTCCGGGCTCCCCTCGCGGCCTCGCACCTTGGGGCTGTCGTTTCTCTGCAACAGAAACACGAGGTACCCTTCGATTATTCCTGGCTTAATGGGAATAATGCAATTTTTAGTTCTTGCTGTCGTTTTGCAATAATGGATAGAAGTACGGTACTGCATAAAAAAGCAGAGAGAGTTTTTCTAATTATTCTTTCGCACTTAAAGCACAATTACGCAAGGCACGCATGCGACAGTACGGGATGGCGAAACAATATTTTACGCCCTCTGGAAAACGAAGAGGGCGACATTATAAGTCCAGAAAGAAGTTTGCGTGGAAGTTTATGGGAGGAAATGACAGATTTGGTGCTTGCAAAGTCTAATCCTCATAGATTTCGACCTCTAGGCCTTTTCGATATTATGCACTTTTCCATCAACGAGCACAGTGCCTTTTTCGTGTCAAATCGAATTCCAAGTTGCAAGAATTCCAAATCGAATTCCAAATTCCAAGAATTCCAAGAATTCAATCGAATTCCAATTGCCAACCTTGAAAAAGGTTGGCAATTGCTTGAAAAAGATTGGCAATTGCTTGAAAAAGATTGGCAATTGCTTGAAAAAGGTTGGCAATAGGCCTCTGGAGCCGTTCGCGTCTAATTTATCCACATGCCTTTCTGAAGTCGACTGCGAGGAAAGATTGGCTCCTTCGAGATAAGAGTCTCCCCAATGCAAGACATTTAAATCGCAAAACTGCCATGGATATGCACCACTGAAGGTGACTGGATTGTTGCGTGGAAAACAGGAAATGGAGGAGGAGATCCGAGCCAGGACCCCCCGCATTCAGAAGGTGATGAACGAAGGAGCGAGCCTCGTCGAGCGAGACCATCCCCAAGTCCATCCCCAAGTCCATCCCCAAGTCCATCCCCAAGTCCATCCCCAAGGCCATCCCCAAGGCCATCCCCAAGGCCATCCCCAAGGCCATCACCAAGGCCATCCCAAGGAGGTCGACATCCGGGCTCGGAGCGAGAGGCTCCGAGCCCGCCTCGGCGCCCTGGAAGAGCTCGCGGCCCGGCGGAGGAAGCGGCTGGAGCAGGCCGCCGAGGCGCGCCGCTTGCACGAGGACGCGGACGAGGCGGAGTCCTGGCTGAGGGAGAAGCGGCGCCTCGTCGAGAGGAAGGACGACGGAGGGGACGAGTCCGGCGTTCGGTCTCTCCTGGATCGCCATCGCCGGATCGCGGAGGAGGTCGAGGCTTACGCTGGGGATCTGCAAGCCCTCTGCGCTCGGGGCGAGGCCCTCGTCGGGTCCGGCGTCTCTCGGGTGGACGTGAGTGCGGATGCTCCTTCGGTTCAAATATCGAGGTCTCAGATTGAGGGATGCAAGGGAGAGGGAGAGAGAAAGTGAATGGCTTCAGGAAACGGTGCAATCAAGTCAGGAACAGAGTTGTGTAACTATTTTGCTCCCCGTCTGCAATTTTGAAGCGAATTCATTTCAGATGGAAGCGAGGCAATTCTCCGGGAGAAAGGGCAATCACCTGAGAGCCTCATTAGCCACATTTTTTCGCATTCGTTCCTCGCGAGCACAAATGATTCACAGATTTAAAAGAATCTTAAACTCTGAAGCATTTCATTTCATGAATGATTCGTGCCGATGCAAGGCTCGCTTCCCCGTTTCCAGTGGCCAGTTCAGCAAAATTAAGCAAATACGCTGCAACATCATCAGAGGAAAATAAAAAATTTTAATTAATGATTTATTTTCTTTCAGGAGTTTTTCCAAGCGAATGAGGCCGATGGGGACTGGTGGAACATAGAGAAGAGGCTGGAGGCCCTCAATGCCTCCTACAATCGGCTTTGCGAGCTCGCTCGGGTAAGCTCATTGTCTTTTTTATTCTTTTTTTTTGGAACGTTATTCTCGATCTGCTTCCTTGCAGGAGCGCGAGGCGTTCTTGGAGGATGCCCTGCACCCGTACGACTTCTATCGCGAATGCGACGACTTCGAGGGCTGGATGAAGGAGCAGGAGAAGTCGCTCCAGAGCGGGGGCGACAAACATCTGGAGGCCAAAGAACGAAAATTTCAGGTGAACTTTCTTCCTAAACATGGCCGATAGAGGAGAGGGGGGGGGGGGCTGGAGGGGGGGCGGGAGGGGGGGGGGCAGTCGCCTCCTCAGAATTTAAGTGCTTCCCTGGTGGAGGGGAAGGTCATTTTTTAATGAGTTTTTCATAATGGAATAGATCGGTGTCGATAAACACGACACATCTCTTCAATGATGTGGAAAAATGTGAAATTTCTCGACTGCCCCCCTCCCCCCCCCCCGGCTGCTCTTAATCCTTCCTTCGTCGGACGAATGCGACTGACAAATGGGAAGAATGTAGCAACCGGCTCCTCATCCAACCATCAGAAATTCGCGACCGACCTGGAAGCCGCGACTCGCCGCCTGGAAGACACGGACAAAGCGGGCAACGAATTGATCAAGAAAAACACCAAGGAACTGGATGGAGTCCAGGCCAGGCACCTGCAGCTTCACGCCCTCTGGGAACGACTCCACCGACTTCGACAGCAGACGGAGGAGAACCTCACCAGAGCCTCGAGGTCAGCTCCCGTCACCCTTACAAAACGTCCAATCCCAGGTGGACGTCCCTTGGATGCCTCCAGGCGGACGTCCCTTGGATGCCTCCAGGCGGACGTCCCTTGGATGCCTCCAGGTGGACGTCCCTTGGATGCCTCCAGGTGGACGTCCCTTGGATGCCTCCAGGTGGAAGTTTTGTAAAGGCACCCAACCCTGAATCCACCCTCAGACAGTCTCACGCCTTCAGGTTGGAGCAGTTGAACCTTGCCTGCGACCGCGTCAGAGACCGACTGGAGGACGCCCTCCGCGAGCATCCCGACCCGGTCCACGCCCTCCGCTCACGCCCCGACCCGGTCCACGCCCTCCGCTCACGCCCCGAGGCACTCGCTCTCGTTCGAGAGGAACTCGATCGGGTGGCTCTCGAGGCCGATTCGTGAGTTGCTTCTCCGATTCTAGCCGATTCGTGAGTTCTCGCTCGCTCGCGGAGTGAGGAGTTTTTCTGACAGGGCGATGTCGTCGTATCCGGACGAGGCAGCGAACATTGCAGCAAGGCAAAGGGAGCTCCAAATCCTCTGGGAGAAATTAAAGGTACGGTCGAGCAAAGAAATTGTAATATTGCTTTTCGTCGCCTCGCGAATTCATGAAGTGGCTTCTCTGAAAACCCGCAGGAAAATGCGGCAGACAGGAGGAACAGATCGGAGGAAGATACCAACCGAGAAATCTTCCTCGCCGACGCCAAGAACTTGGTGAGTCGACAGAAATCGCCAGACTCGACCTGATGTTCATGTTTGTTCATGTTTGTTCATGTTTGACGCCTCAGCTCGACTGGATGAGAACCGCGATGGAAACTCTGAGCGCAGACGACCCAGCGAGAGACGTGGCAACTGCCGAAGAATCGCTCAGGACGCACGCCGAACTGGGCGACCAAATCCGAGCTCGCGACGCCGAGTGAGTCCTCATCGATCTCATCGATCTCATCGATCTCATCGATCTCATCGATCTCATCGATCTCTGCATTCCACACGGCCGACGTCAATCCGAACATAATCAGATTCGATTGATCTTCTCACGCGCCAGAATCGAAAAAGTGACGGAGCGGGGGCGGAATCTCCTGCAGAGGAGTCCAGAGACGAAAGATGCCATTCGCGACGCTCTCGAGCGACTTCAGGTGCGACTCCATTCCTCCTCCTCGCGACATCCACCGCAACAAACAGCAACCACTTGCCACTTGCTACAGTCGGAGTCGGAAGCGACGAAGCGAGGCTGGCAGGCGAGGGACGACCGACTGAGGCATCGCCGCGACCGCCTGCGCTTCGAGGGGGAGGCCAGGCGCCTCGACGCGGCCGCGGCGGGGCACGAGGCTCTCCTGCGATCCTCGTGCCTCGATGCGGCGGCGGCGGGGCACGAGGACGAGGTGGAGGCTCTCCTCAAGGGCCACGAGGATTTCGAGAGGAAGCTCGTCGTCGAAGACGAGAGAGCGAAGGCGTTGAGCGAGATGGCCGACCGACTGATCGAGGCCAACGCCGACGAGGCCGACGAGGCCGACGAGTGAGTCGAATTCAAAATAATTAAGCGCGATTTCCTCCGCGATTCGAGCGATATTAAGCGGTTGCTTAGAGTCGACAAGCGCAGGAAGCAGACCCTGGCGAGGCGAGAGGCCGCGAAGGAGAAAGCGGCCGAACGGAGACGACGACTGCTCTCGTCCCAGGACTTTCACCTGTTCCAGGCCGACGCCGACGCCATGCTCGCGTGGATGGCCTCCAGGACCGACGAATCCGATCGCGACCCGCGGAACCTCGCGAGAAACCTCCGAAAGCACGAGGCCCTCGAGCAAGAACTGCAATCCTACGAGGGGAAACTGCACGATCTGACCCAGGCCAGTCTCGTTCCCGCCAAAAAAAATCCTCGCCAAAAAACCGCGCCAAAAATAAAATTTCGCACAGGCCGGCCAGTCCCTCGTCACCCACGGCCACCCCCGAAGCAAAGACCTCCAGCACACCCTGGACACCCTCAACGAAAGCTGGAAGCAATTCACTCGCCTCACCAAGGACAAAGGCGAGGAACTCCGGCAAGCTTCAGCCCAGCTCGGACACAACAGGTGAGAGCATTGCAAAAAATCTCAGAAAACCGTGAAAAAAAAAAAGCATCTAATCCCTTCACAGGACTCTGGAAGACGCAAGGCAAAAGGCAGAAGAATTTGAATCCAGCCTCCAATCCACCGACCGCGGAACCGACCTGAGAAGCGCGAAGCAGCTGCTCCATAACCATCAGGTTTTCTTATCATTATCATTTTATTCTCGAATTATTGTGGTAAGGGTTCGAATCTTCACATCTCCCTCGTTTCAGATACTGGAGCATGCCATGACCGAATGGGAGGCCAAGGTCAATGACCTTAAGGGCGTCAAGGACGACGAAACAGCAGAGAAAGGTCGCCTCGAAGTCCTCAAAGAAAAGCGAGTGACACTTGAATCGTAGATTTTTTTTCGCTTGAGGCAATATCGCTCTGAGAAGAGTGCGATGGCCTCCATATTTCATGTTCGACGTGCCATCCATTTTTTATTTTTGTATTTTATGATATCATTTATCATAATTTATCGACTGCCGTGTAGATTCGCCAGCTTGAAAGCGGCGGCAGCCCGCCGACGCACCGCCCTCGAGGAGTCCCTGCGAACGCACGAGTTCCTCGCAGAAGTGGACGCTCGGCTGCGATGGATCGAGGCGCGCCTGCCCGCGGCCTGCTGCGACGTCCGGAGTCTCACGGAGGCGCGGAGCCTCGAGAGGAGGCACGAGGCGCTGCTGGAGGAGCTGGCGGGGTATGGAGGGTCCGTGGAGGCGACTCTCGGGCGGGCAGATGGGGTGAGTCTTCCGGGAGGTTGGAGGTCTGTTGCGGGGTCAACGGGGAGTCGCGGTTCTCTGGTGGAGGGGAGGTGCAAGGAGTTGAGGGATGCGTGGGAGGACCTCCTCGAGAAGGCGAAAGAATGGGGGGATCGCGTCCGGAGATCTCTCGAGGCCCAGCGGTACTTCGCCGACGCCGACGAGGTCGAAATCCGAATGACAGAAAAACGGGACGTTTTCCTGTCCAAGGATCGTGGAAAAGACGAGGAGGCTGCCAAGGCTCTCCTTGCCAGACACGAGGTCTGCCAGATCCAATTCGGTCACCAATCGTGTCAAATCCGAAGCCTTGCGCTTTTGCATAAGTACCAGTACTTGCAGTCCCAGGAGCAGGAGCTGGATTCGCTCTGTCGCCTGGTGACGGAAATGGAGTCCACCGCCCAAAAAATGATCGAATCCGGCCACCCCGACTCGAAAAGGATCCGAAACCGCCAGGACGCCCTTTCTCGCCAGACAAAGTACCTGCAGAAAGCGGCAGACGCCCTCCGCCATAACCTGACCCAGTCCCTCCACCGCCACGCCCACTCGCGAGAGACCGAAGACCTCCACGAGTGGCTGGACCGGATGACCCGAGCCGCCTCGTCCGACGACCACGCCACCGACTACGAGCACCTCCTCGTAAGCATTCCTCCGCTTTCCACCCTCCATCCATTGCTCCATCCATTGCATCCATTGCTCCATCCATTGCATCCATCGCAGGACCTCCAAGGCGAGCTGAACGACTTGAAACTCGAAGCGGAGGCAGGGACGAAGCGACTCGAGCAGTGCGAGGAGGCCAAGAAGCGGATCGGAATTCCTCATTTTTCCGAGGGAGACGAACTCAGGTACCACCTGGTCCTAGTAATCGTACTTGGGGTTCATTATTACTTAAAATAGTCTGGCTCTTTTTCGTATTGATTTTCTTGAGGCTCTTCCCTTCTTGATCGATGAGTTCTTTCTTTCTCTTGCGGTTTCAACTTGGTCATGGCTTCCGTTGACTTACTGATTTATGCTCTCAACCGCAGTGAAGAGGTTGGCGAAGGAGAAGAAGACACGGCCGAGAACTCAGAAAAGCTACGGTGAGGACAGCCTTCTTCCTCCTTATTTGCGGAGACGAACAAGAAGCAAAAATGTTAAACTCCCAAAAAGGGCTTTCGCCAAGTTCTCATTGCCATTCTTCGGTGCAGGGAGAAAATGGGGAAGCTGTTCGAGCAGATCCAGGCAAGGACCCAGCAACTGGACGCGGCTGGGGAGATCCACCGCTTCGACCGAGACGCGGCCGAGGTCCTCACCAGCATGCAGACGGAATTTCCGACGAACGACGACCTCGGCAAGGACCTCGGCTCCGTGCGGAGCCTCATCGAAAAGCACGAAGGGCTCGAAAAAGACCTGGTCGCCCTGGACGTCCGGCTGCAGTCGCTGACGGACGAAGCAGCCAGGTTGCAAGCGAAGCATCAGGGAGAAAACGCAGCGCGCGTGAAAGAGCAACAGTTGAAGTTGGCCCGAGAACGGACCAAACTCCAAGAGAGGACCAGCCAGAGAAAAAAGGCGCTGGAAGAATCCCTTCAGCTGCAGGAATTCCTCTCGGCCGTGAGTACCGACGCCCTGCGAAACGGATCCCATCCGACACGTTCACAGAATTCCTTCTGGAAAAGCAGGTTCGCGATTTGGTGACTTGGGCCTCGGATCTCCGGAGAACCATGACCGAGGAAAAAGTACGGGATCCTTCCTCGGCCCTGACCTTCAAGGCCGAGCACGAAGGCCTCAAAGTCGAAATCGACTCAAGGGAGGAGAACTTCCGCCAGGTGATCGAGGCTGGAAAGATCATCGTCTCAGACGGACACCACGCAACTCAGGTCTCCATTCATTACAGATCAATCCTAACGAAATGTCCACCTGTATCCACATGGCAAACCGGCAAAGTGGATAGAAGTAGAAAGGAAGTTTTGAACCGGGTAGATGTTGCACAATGTGGATTTTGAACAAAATAGAATTCGCTTCAATAGATGGAAATACGCCTAAGGAAATTTACCTGGTTCCAAATCCACCTGTCAGGTGGACGTTTCGAAAGGAAAACGAGTTCAGGAGACCCAACTGACCCGATCCGATCCGACAGGTTAACCAGCAGCTGGACCAGGTGGAGGAAGAGCGGCAGAAGCTTCACGCGGCCTGGCATCGCAAGAAAGTCTGCCTCGACCAACTCGTCGACCTCCATGCTTTCCTTCGAGACGTGGAGCGGCTTTCCGCTACTGCTGCCGCCCAAGCGGTACCTTCTTTAGTCTTGTATTTCCTTAATTTCTATAATTAGACAATCATCTCAGTGGCAATGCATCTCCCACTCCAACCAGGCGGCACTGACGAACTCGCATCTGGGCTCCACCGTGGAAGAGTTGGACGCTCGCGTGAAAAAGCAAGAGACAATCGATGAATCGATCGCAGCCGAAGACGAGAAACTGGCCGCCCTGCAATCGCACGGAGCGGCGCTGATCCACCAGAGCCACCCCGACAGCTCCACCCTCCAGGCGAAGCTGGAGGAAGCGACAGAGCTGAGGAAGCGCGTGCGGGAGCTCGCTGCCGATTTGAGGAAGCGTCTCACAGATGGACTCGTCTGCGCTCGGTTCTATCGGAATGCGTATGATGTGTGTGGCTTAGGTTTATTCCTTAACGTTAAGACTTAAGTCCCTACGCACTTTCCTGGACGATATTAATAAAATCTCAACTTTCATCACTTGAAGGCCATGGCATGGATTGCCGAAAGGCGCAAGAAAATCCAGTTGGAATCCCGGACGGTCGCAGCTGAGACGAGTCACGAGGTGAACAAGAAATTGCAGTTGTACAAAGCTTTTGAAGCGGAGCTGGCAGCCCACGAGCCCACGATCAAGGACATCCAGAAAAACGGTGCCCAGCTCCTCCAAAAAGATCACCCGTCTTCTCCCGAAATCCAGCATCATCTAGACGAACTGAAGCAAGCTTGGATCGCACTTGATGATGAGACCAAGAGCCTCGGTCGCGACCTCGAAGAGGTTCAATGTATCCTTCAATTTAACGCGCAACTCGAGGAACTGGATCAGCGGATTCAAGAGAAGGAGGCGATGGTGAACGCGAGAGACACCGGACGAGATTATGAGCATTGTCTCAGTCTGCATAAGAAGCTGGAAGACACAGACATGCACGTTGAGGAATCCCAACTACAAGCCATCAACGCCCTGGCCGACCAGCTGGGATGCAGCGACATGCAACAGAAACGAGACGAGCTGAAGAGCAAGTGAGCCCCGTGTACCTTTTTCTTCCTCAGACTCTCATCGCGTACTTCTAAAGTTTTTGTTTCTGTAGGTGGATGGCCCTGTTAGAATCAATGAGCGAGTACAGAGAGCAGTTGGCTGGCGCTTTGGAATTCCACGCATTCAATCGGGACGTGTTCGACACCCTCGATCGCATCGCCGAGAAGTCCAATGCTCCCTCCGTCGATACGGGGAAGATTCTGGCTCGGGTCGAGACACTGCAGCGGAAACAGGACGAAATCGAACGAGACATTCCCATCATCGAAAGCAAAATCACGGCTTTGGAGAACGAAGCCCAGCGCCTGGCGCAGCTGCATCCGGACGCCGCCGCGTCGATCGTGCAGAAGCTCTCCGACCTCCAGGAACGCCGGCAGGCCCTGACGCAGGAGTGCGAGGCTCGCCGGCAGCAGCTGGCCGACGCCCACGCCCTACAGTGGTTCGAGTCGCAACTGAAAGAGCTGGAGGAGTGGGTGGAAGAGACGCGGGAGGCGATGAGCAGCAGGGGAGTCCCCAGCTGCGATGCCAAGGAGGAGTCCGTGCTCCGACTCCATCAGGAACGAAAGGCTGAGATCGACGGGAAGCAGGAGGCCTTCGAGTCCCTCGAGGATTTCGGTCGTCGTCTCATCCAACAGAATCACTGGGCCAAAGACGAGGTCAAGGAAGCAGTCGAGTATTTAGAGGAAATGAGACGATCCTTGAGTGCCCTCTGGGAGGAACAGACGCACTCGTTTCAGGCCTTGCCAGACAAAGCGATCTTCAAACAGGCCGACGAGGTCGACGAGTGGCTTGCAGACAAGGAGGCCTTCCTCAGTAACGATGACCTCGGGGATTCCCTGGATGCTGTCGAGACTTTGATGCGAGAGCATGAGGCGTTCGAGAAAACGCTGCATCAATCACACACAGCGAAAGTCGACCGACTCGAGAAATCCGCCATGAAGCTGATTGCCGAGAACCATCCCGACGGCCAGGCCATCCAGCATCGCCTGAGCGAGGTCCTAAAAAAAAGAGATCTCCTAATGGAAAACTCCGCGATCCGCTCTCGCAAACTCGCCGAATCCCGGCAACTCCAACAATTCCTGATTCGCATGGCGGAAGCATCTACCCGGATAGCCGAGAAGAAGCAGGCCGCCCTCGACCATCGAGACTCTACGACCCTCCAAAGCGACATGAAATCCCTACAGGAACTCGACGCCGAGATCCTCTCCTGCAAAGCTCGCGTTGACCAGGAAGGAGAAAAGCTGATCGGGAACGGACACTTCGCAGCCGAGGACATCCGACAGCGGCTGGACGAATCCGCCCGGCTCTGGCAGGGACTGCTGGACGCATCCCAAGAGAAACAACAGCAACTGCAGGAATTCCTCTCATCTGTGAGTACCGACACATTGCGAAATGGATCCCATCTGGCACTTTCACAGAATTCCATCTGGAAAAGCAGGTTCGCGATTTAGTGACTTGGGCCTCGGATCTCCGGAGCACCATGACCGAGGAAAAAGTACTGGATCCTTCCTCGGCCCCGACATACAAGGCCGAGCACGAAGGCCTCAAGGCCGAAATCGAATCAAGGGAGGAGAACTTCCGCCAGGTGATCGAGGCTGGAAAGATCATCATCTCAGACGGACACCACGCAACTCAGGTCCCTATTTTCTCGTATCAGGTCAACCCTTACCGTGCCGACACTCACATAGCTGAACGGCATGGTGGATAGGAGGTGGATTTCGAACCAGATGGATGGCCCACCGGGTTAACATCGCTTCAACAGGTCACATTTAAAGGGACATCCACCTGGTTCCGAAACCATGTCAGGTGGACGTTTCGCAAGGAAAACGAGTTCAGAAGACGCAACTGACCCGATCCGATCCGACAGGTTAACCAGCAGCTGGACCAGGTGGAGGAAGAGCGGCAGAAGCTTCACGCGGCCTGGCATCGCAAGAAAGTCTGCCTCGACCAACTCATCGACCTCCATGCTTTCCTTCGAGACGTGGAGCGGCTTTCCACTGCTGCTGTCGCCCAAGCGGTATCTTACTTAGTTTCATACTTTCCCCTGTAACTCTAATGTAAAAATTTTCTCAGTTATGAATGCATCTCGCACTCCAATCAGGCGGCACTGGCTAGTTCGGATGTTGGTTCCACCTTCGAAGAGTTGAACGCTTGCATGAAAAAACAAGAGGCATTCGATGAATCGATCGCAGCCGAAGACGAGAAACTGGCCGCCCTGCAATCGCACGGAGCAGCGCTGATCCACCAGAGCCACCCCGACACTCCCACCCTCCAGGCGAAGCTGGAGGAAGCGACAGAGCTGAGGAAGCGCGTGCGGGAGCTCGCTGACGATTTGAGGAAGCGTCTCACCGATGGACTCGTCTGCGCTCGGTTCTGTCGGGATGCTTATGAAGTATGTTGCTTAAGTTTATTTCTTAACGTTAAGTCCCTCCGCGCTTTTCTGGACGATATCAATAAAATCTCAATTTTCATCACTTGAAGGCCACGGTATGGATTAACGAGACGCGCAAGAAACTCCAGTTGGAATCCCAGACGGTCGCAGCTGCGACGAGTCACGACAAGGTGATCGAGAAATTGCAAAATTACCAAGCCTTAAAAGGAGAGCTGGCAGCCCAAGAGCCCACGATCAAGGACATCCAGATGAACGGTGACCAACTTCTTCAAAATGATCACCCGTCATCTCCCGAAATCCAGCATCACCTAGACGAACTGAAGCAAGCTTGGATCGCACTTGATGATGAGACCAAGAGCCTCGGTCTCGACCTCGAAGAGGCTCAATGGACCCTTCAATTCAACTCGAAAGTCGAGGAACTGGATCAGCGGATTCGAGCGACAGAGGCGATGGTGAACGCGAGAGATACAGGACGAGATTATGAGCATTGTCTCAGTCTGCATAAGAAGCTGGACGACACAGACATGCAGGTTGAGGAATCCCAACTACAAGCCATCAACGCCCTGGCCGACCAGCTGGGATGCAGCGACATACAACAGAAACGAGACGAGCTGAACCGCAAGTGAGCTCCCGTAAACCTTTTTCTTCCTCAGACTCTCATCGCGTACTTCTAAAGTTTTTGTTTCTGTAGGTGGAGGGCCCTGTTAGAATCAATGAGAGAGTACAGAGAGCAGCTGGGTGGAGCTTTGGAATTCCACGCATTCAATCGGGACGTAATCGACACCCTCGATCGCATCGCCGAGAAGTCCAATGCTCCCTCCGCCGATACGGGGAAGACCCTAGCTCAGGTCGAGGCCCTGCAGCGGAAACAGGACGAAATCGAACGAGACATTCCCATCATCGAAAGCAAAATCACGGCTTTGGAGACCGAAGCCCAGCGCCTGGCGCAGCTGCATCCGGACGCCGCCGCGTCGATCGTGCAGAAGCTCTCCGACCTCCAGGAACGCCGGCAGGCCCTGACGCAGGAGTGCGAGGCTCGCCGGCAGCAGCTGGCCGACGCCCACGCCCTACAGTGGTTCGAGTCGCAATTGAAAGAGCTGGAGGAGTGGGTGCAGGACAACCGAGAGGCGATGAGCGGCGGTGACGTCCCCAGTAGCCAGGTCGAGGCGGAGTCAGTGCTCCGACTCCATCTGGAACGAAAGGCCGAGATCGACGGGAAGCAGGAGGCCTTCGAGTCCCTCGAGGATTTCGGTCGTCGACTCGTCCAACAGAATCACTGGGCCAAAGGCAAAGTCGAAGAAGCGGTCAGACGTTTAGAGGAAATGAGACGATCTTTGAGTGCCCTCTGGGAAGAACAGAAGCACATTTTGAAATCCTTGCCACGCAAAGCGTTCTTTAAACAGGCCGACGAGGTCGACGAGTGGCTTGCAGACAAGGAGGCCTTCCTCGGTAACGATGACCTCGGGGATTCCCTGGATGCTGTCGAGACTTTGATGCGAGAGCATGAGGCGTTCGAGAAAACGCTGCATCAATCACACACCGAAAAAGTCGACCGACTCGAGAAATCCGCCATGAAGCTGATTGCCGAGAACCATCCCGACGGCCAGGCCATCCAGCATCGCCTGAGCGAGGTTCTTCAAAGAAGAGATCTCCTGAAGGAAAACTCCGCGATCCGCTCTCGCAAGCTCGCCGAATCCCGGCAACTCCAACAATTCCTGATATGCATCGAGGAAGCATCGACCCAGATAGCCGAGAAGAAGCAGGCCACCCTCGACCATCGAGGCTCCAGAAACCTCCAAAGCGACATTAAATCCCTCCACGCCCTCGACGCCGAGATCCTCTCCTGCAAAGCTCGCGTTGACCAGGAAGGAGAAAAGCTGATCGGGAACGGACACTTCGCAGCCGAGGACATCCGACAGCGGCTGGACGAATCCGCCCGGCTCTGGCAGGGACTGCTGGACTCTTCCTGCGAAAAGCAACAGCAGCTCCAAGACGTTTTCAATCGTACATTGGATGACCTTGACGTCTGGATGAATGAGGTCGAAGGTCACCTCCTGAGCGACGTCCGCGGTCTCGACATGACTTCGCTACAAGCTCTACTGAAGAAGCATCGGCGTCTGGAATCCGACATTCGTGCGCGTGCTGACCACATCGAGCGGGTCAAGGTCACATCTGCTGCATTCCGCGACAACAAGCATTTTTTGAAGGATGAAATTTACCGGAAGGTTCGAGCTGTCGTCAAGAGGTGAGTCTCTTTCGGCCACCCGTCTTCTCTTCTACGCCAAATGTGTGCATTACCTGTTGGTTACTTCAATCGAGAGATCGTTTCACTCAACCTTTGAGAGCTCTGGGGCGACGAGTGAGCCGCATCACTCTTTTTGCAACAGGTACGAATCCCTGCTCGAGTCACTGCGGGACCGTGAGACCGCTCTGAAGGACGCCCAACTCCTCCATCGGTTCCTCCGGGAAGTGGAGGACGAGCAGGCGTGGATGTCCGAGAAGGAGGTCATGCTCCGCTCCGACGAATCGGGCACGAGCCTCGCTGCCGTCCAGTCGCTCATGACGAAGCATCAGGTGAGATCAGAGATGGATGGAGAAGACATGCTTTCGAATTTGGGATCGTGCGACTCGGACGTTGAACGACTGATTGCCCGCTGAATTCACGGCTAACTCATCGTGATGTTCTCTTCGTAGGCTCTGGAAGCAAAGATCCGGAAACACACGCGTGTCGTCAATCTGGTGACGACAAAGGGGCAGCAGATGATAAAAAGCGGGCACTTCGCATCGACTCAGATCGACACGAAAGTCAGGGACCTGTCGACACGCATGGCAGAGCTGAAAGACGCCACCAGCAAGCGGCGGCGGCGTCTTCGGGAAGCAATAGAGTCCCAGCAGGTATGTCGGAGCGCTTCAGGCATCAGAGCAGAAACGGCACGAACCGGATCGAACTCTGACAGGCCGTTTTTTAAATGCTGAAATAAATGTTAAAAGTCTTTGGGAATTTGGAGATCAAGCCGCGACAAGCTCACAATCCTGCGACTCTCGAATGAAACTGCTTCTATTGCAGTACCATACTGCGTACCATACCCATACCATTATTCAAACTCTCAGATACTTCCATGATAAAATTACAGTGAACATACACGATATCGAGTGTAATTCTCTCTAAAAAAAAATGATCGCTCTAATACCTCTGGGCTTTTGTCACCGTGGCTCCTCTTCAGCTGCCTTAAGAGGAACTAATATGAGTTTGAGTCGGATTTCGGTCACTCGTAAGTACTTTGCGTTAAATGCAAGTACGTTGGCATACGTTTTATATTCAATTATTAATTAGCTTTGCGATGGAAGGGGGAGGGATGAATTTAACTGTCTTAGCACACAATTAGGAGAATCGTTTATCATGAAACAAAAGAGATTATGCAAGAAAAAGTTTTTTTTTCTGCTAAGCAAAAGAATTAGCAACTTCTCTCCATCTATAAGAAGGAGAAACCATTTAGGCAACAAAAAAAAAGACAGAGACCATTTATCATGCCGTTCTTGGCTTGAGCTCCCTCGACCGTTGTTTGTATTGGGGATTTCTTCTTTCCGCCTTGAGCGCCACCAGCGGAACATTCACGACTCTTCTTTTCCTTCTGGCTGCCAGCTCGCCCTGAAGAGGAAGGAGCTTAGATGGAAGGGAGGCTTCTGTTGCGGCTGGGGCTTTGGGATTCTTCTGGCGGCTGTGCTGTTCCTGGCAGTCCTCCGTTGGATGGCAGGCGGCCCTGAGACTCCGGACGGTGAGGAACTCAATGTAGCAAGAGGAGAAACGTAGCGGTGATTAATTGCGTACCGAAGTACCCATCGATTCTGGGGGGTTTTCTGCCTCGTTTTTTTTTTTTTACTTCTAGGAGAAGGAGCGACATGTGCTTACATATACCCTGTATACTTGTCTGCCTTCCCACTATAAACAGAATTGTTATCCATCTTGATGAATTAATGAAGGAAAAGAGAACGAAAGGATTTACCTTTTTTCCCATGAAATTGGTCTTAACAATTGTGAAGGGAATTTGAAACTGATTAGAAGGTTCAACTAGTCCTGTGTTCAATCAAGAGAATCATCCTGTATCTCTTCAAATCTCGTCTTCGGGATTTATTTCTGGAGTGTAGGAACAGAGGATTTACGGAAATATGCCATTCTTTTTTTTTTATTATCAATTATGGTACCGGAGAAGCATTGCGTATGTTCTATGTTCCCATTCTTTATGAAAGTAAAATATTCGTATGCACCTCTCCAGTGTCTCCTTGCATCAAATCAGCTTGGATCGATGGAATCGAAGGAACTAGATCCTGCTCGATCCCACGACTGAGAACACCCTATACGAAGTCAAAGACTATTTTTCCTTTCTGTTATTATTTCCCTTTCATGAGAGGGATGCCCCAAAAAATAAACTTGGCACCCAATAAAGTTATCAATGCCGGAATATTGAGGGATCGAACATGAATTTCAATTTTACGTGATAATTTTCAACGACATCGAATGAAGAAGTCAAATTATCCACTCGTGCAAAAAAACCTTCGATCAATGAGAGTTTGCAATAGTCTGATAATACAGATCCATAAGCCTCATAAGCCTCATAAGCTTCATACACCTCATCAGCCATCAGCCTTTTTCGATAAACGTCTTGGCCGTTCACGTTGGAATCGCCTGTCGGGTTCCGAGGATTGCGTTTAATGAAGGAATGGAAGCTTCTCATTAAAGCCTGTCATCAAAGCAAGCCTGCCATTAAAGCTTGTCATTAAAGGAAGAGTGCGAAACGACTGACGGGATCATTAGGCCCTCTGGACAGGTGCGATTCAGCACTCATCACTGCGGTCATTGTTGTTTGTGATGTGCTGCGTTCGATGGGGCCCAAAATGATTGCATGACACGAACCTGAATTATTCCTTGCCCCTGTTTCTCTTCCTGGGACTTCTTTTGAACGATATATGAAGGCGCATTATTGAGGAGGAATCGCTCACGTTTGAGACTGCATGGCATGTAAGGATCCAATGGTGAGTTACTGGTGCGCTCATGGTAGATTTGCAGGCGACTGGTTTGAATTGGACAAGATTTCGTTTCTTCTTGCAGGCTGCTGAAGGTGAAGGGGGCGCTCGGCGCGTCATGGAGGCGGTTCGGTGTCCTGCTGGGGAGATTCACCGGAGTCGGCTCTTGAGGATCGTCATCTATCTCGTTGCCGTTCTCTTCACTGCTTCGCAGGTGAGACGTGCCGATCGAGTCCTCTGAATATTATTGGTGTCGCCTGCTGAATCCTTTCGTTTTAGATATTGGGCTACTTGAAACGATACCGCGAGACGCCGACCAACACTTCCTACCGGATTCGGGAAGTGGACACCCTGCGTGCACCCATGGTTACCCTCTGCCAAACCCCGTCCTTTCGAAAGCCCCCGGTTTCGATTCAAGACAACGAGACCATGCCCAAATTGGTTCGAGACTACGGCTTCTCCCTGAAAGACTTCGTGACGGGGTGCACCATCAACGAGATTCAGTGCAACAGAAAATTGGGAAACGGTTCTGACGTGGATATCATGGAAACCCCAGGTTCGTTAGTTGTAATTTTGTTCGGAGCCGGGGAATGGGCGCCGCATATCAACGCCAAATGGCAGCAATGATCGGCAATGGACTTTCGGATGGAGTTGGTCATTTTCTGGCCATTCATTCATGAGATAGCTTTAGGGACGGGTTTGTTTCACTGCAGAACGGATTTTAGCCTGAATTTTCGGCGTCCCAACAGGAATGAAAATTTTCTGGAAAATAAATGCGCCATAACAGACATAATTTAAAGTATTGCCCATGGTTCACTCAGGGAAAAAGGAGAGTATTCGCAGCTGCTTTTGCCTAACTGGTGGGATTTTGCGCAAATTTTAGACCCCTTGTAGCACAAATGTTGAATTAACAGAAGTATAACAAGTTCTGGACTTTTCTTTTTTTTTACTAGGATCCAATTGGAATATTTTCATCGCAAGCTGGTAAAGCTGACACGTGAATGATCCTAGCAAGTTTAAAGTTAATTTCTCGCCAGTGAAAATTTTAAGGTTTCCAATGATAATCACATGGCGTGAAAAGGAATTAAATATTGGCTTTTATGTTCTTATCCAAATGACGCCAGGATGGCCCTCATTTGGACAATTAATTAATCCTAGCAGGTGTATTAGCAATAGCAATCCACCTTTAAAAGGGTCTTCACTTTGAATTTAATCCCCACAAAGGACAAAATAAGGAGTTCTGAAGGGACTTCATAGCTTAATAAGGAGGGACTATACGGTATAATAATTGTTCAATGTCACCAAAGGGATTTTATATTAATCAAAAATATTAATATAAATATCATGGTATTGATACGCCTCATCTCGGGAGAAATAAAGGCCACAAAAATGGCTGGCTTTCCCTAGTCCCCATAACCATTTTCAATTTCAATTTCTTTTTCTCGTTGCCGTACTTTGAAAATATTTATTTGGATGAAACTTCAAGAGTCTGTTAGGAAAATATAAATCTATGCACTATTCAAGTTGTTTTTTAAATCATTCCAGCGAGAGGAGAGATATAAAAGTTAAGAGAAGTTGATCAATTTCCCGCAATATTGACAGGAGGAAGATGGATTGGAAGGTATATGCACGACAAGAAGGAGGCATTCTACCTCCGGAGGTGTTTCACATTCGATCCCAGTGTTCCCTTTGGAGTGATGGACCACTTTTCGGGCCTCTACTTCAGTCTTGACATGGACAATGCGACGGAAAAAGATGCTGAAGCCGACGCTGGCTGGGACGTCTTCGTCCACGGGGACTTGAAATATGCTTCGCTTTTAGACGGATTCTACACGAAAATCCACGTGAAGCCCCAAACTACACAGGAAATCCAACTGACCGCCAAGACCATTCAAAACATCAATACCCCTCAAAATCTTTGCATGGAAAATCCCGACTACAGCAGAGAAAAAGTAATTGATAGCATTCAGAACATTTCCTAGGTCCACTGATGCCTTAGTAACGGAGTAAGGATCAGTACCAATAAATAATTTCCTTATTCATAATCATATATATTAGGTCTACGCAATTATAGAGAACATTTATCATGCTAACAATTGGATGTATTTCCCCCTCACACATCTTTCTCTAGTGTTTGGACGAATGCATTTTTAACGGCATAAAGGAGCAAGAGCCATGTCGCCTTCCCTGGATGGAAAAGCCTGAAGTACATGGATGTCAAACAAAGGGCGAGACATTCTCAACTGTCACAAAATACAGCAATTGGATTAAGACAGGCAAGTACGAGAAGTTGAATTGTTCATGCCCACAGCCGTGTTCCCAAGTGGAATACCGAGTTCAGATCATGCCACCGCTCGAACGAACGACGAAGGCCTGGGTCTTCATATATTTCCCTTCGAAGAAAGTGGAAGTCCTGACGGAGATGGAGGCTTACGACATCTCGCAGATGGTTGGGGAGGTGGGCGGATGTGTGGGGATGTTCCTCGGCGCGTCCCTCATCTCCGTCTACGAATTCCTCGATCATTACATTCGTCTGTGGATGTCCCGGAGGACTCTGCTATCATAGACTGCAACAGAAGGCAGTGAAGTGCACCAGATTGTCAAGGACAGAGTCATATAGGAAAATCCTCTCACCGTTGCATTATGCTGTTGTCATCACTGATAGTATATGCTCACCCACATCTTTCCTAATTTCTTTCACTAACAGGCTGAGGTGTAATGAATAAACTTGGGGGGAGGGAATTCGAAATTTCAAGCCTGAGGTGAGCATTATGGTTGGGACACCATAAAGCATAGATAGGGAAATTATGGGTTGAGTGCATAGAGGACAAAGGAGACCCTTAAAAAAAAAATGTTCTGTGTCACACAAAATAAGCTTACAGTTGCAACATTGTCGCACCTATCCATTAAACACATTCTCATCTAACAATTTTATTTCGGGGCGAAAGGGATTGCCGCTTTCTAGGAATTCCTTTCATGCTGAAACTTCTTGAGGAACATGAGGATACTTTTGCACACTTTTGTACCCATCGAAGCAAATCACAGCAAGTGGAGACTGTTCAATGTTTAAGCTTTGACTGAGGAAACTGAATCATCAGCTCTCGTCCAGATGTCGTCTGTTCACCGAGACAGTGATTAGCGGTCAATGCAATTAACTTCGCTGTCTTGAATCTCTGAATTGGTTCGAGTCTGATGTGAATGATACGAATTTGATGGGAAATTCTGATGAGAATGAATAAAGGTTCAAGCTTTTTGACTCATAATTTTCCCTTTTCTTGGATCAACCAAACTTGTCATCGTGAAGGGGAAAGGGGCGAAGTTGTAAGAGATGGCTTTTTTCCTTCTCTTTTTTTTCTTTAGGGCGGGAAAGGGGGGGGGGGGGGGGGGGGGGGGGGGGGCCGG